AAGTGAGGCAGGTAAACACCACAGGGCCTTATGTACGCAGGGAATAATTTGGGCTGTTGTTTCTGTAAGTGTTGTTTTGATGTCCATTCAGGAGGACATTGCTGTGAGAGCTGCGGGGGATTAGAAACCCTCCAATCCACCCTCTCCTCTCTGGCAGCCTGACTTTGCCTGGGTTTCTAAGGAGAAATAGTACTTTATATGGGATCAGCTGATAGAACTAAAAAAAAATGGGCATGAGATCAGAGTTTGGCAATCAGCTCTGAAAATTGTATTTTTAAATCCAGTAGAGTGTTGTCACGGTTCGAATACTCTTGTTACTTAAGCTTTACCACCTGAAGGCTGAGCACAAGAGCTGCTTAACACAGTCCTCCGAGTCTCCACACCTTTGATTTTACCCTAAAACATTTGGATATTCCAGCTGAAATGTGGAGCATCATGTTTTTTGTTGTTATTATTCCTTATAGGAGGAATAGGATTAAAAACGTATGTTTGCAAAAATGATCAAATGCAATGTAGGCAAGAAATTGAAAATGTGTTGATAAAAGTTACTTCAGTCTTAGGGGACAGAGGAGTTGGAAATATCTGTATGTTCAGATGCTGATAGGACCTGTTTGGCTACTTCGGATGATTCAGGAAATCAAGATGCCAGAAAGGGAATGACTGGAAGGGGGCAGTGAGGCTTCTGGTTTGTTTCTACCTCTGTCAGTATCAGCTTTAATTCCTTGTTTATATTGGGTGCTTTCAAAAGCCTAGATTTAGGCTTAGCTGGCTGTTGCCCCTTGCTCTAAAGCTTTTCGTTTGGGTTTGTTCCCACCACACTTCGTAAGTATTTCAGCCTGCTCTGTGCACCGATGTCACTGACCCTGGCTGGTAGTGATGGGGACAGGATGTTTGGGACAGAAGCACTGGACATGTTCACGCTGGGACCTGTTCAAGGTGCTGTGGGGCATGCTGGCTCTCCGAGAGAGAGCTTGGTGTGCTCTGAGGGTCTCCTTTCAAACCCCACCTCTGATCCATGAGAGCTCAGTACTATTTGTATGTAATTTACATTGTTCCAGTGTGCAGTGGCAGTTACATGTAGCTCATGGAATTTCCTTCACTGTTTCCCACTGTCTTCCCAGCGGCTGCTCACATTAACCTTTCGCAAGGATGTCTCTGAACGTGCGGGACAGCCCAAGAATTGCTGTGGCTCTCATCTGCTCTTAGGAATTCTCTCAAATCACTCCAGTAGCTGATTTTGCAAATCTCTGACCATAAACCACCCACCCGTCAGCTCAGCTCCATGGAAGCCACCCTTGGCTCGGCCAATTGCCATGAATGGCTCAATCCTGTTCTGTGTTTACCTTGAGGATGTTATTTATCATTGATCCCCGTTCTCAGCAATGTCTCCCATGTGCACTTAGATGCTTTGCTGCAGAAAATTAATAATACTTGAGTCCCAATTCTGGTAGGAGCTCCCCTGGCAGCAGTGGCTGCAGGCTCTGCCTGTGCCCTGCTGGTGCCAGATGGGTTCTGCAGCCCCTCAGAGGTCAAGCTGAAAATGCCTGTCCATAAAAACTGACTCAGAGAAGGCAAACACATCTGAAAGGGCAGCTCAGCTCAGTTTCTGTAAAATCGGACCTCTCAGATGCCAGTGTACATCATGGGGTTGGTGTGTGTCTGCCCAGCAGGGACCTGGCGGAGACCCTCTCTGGGGAGTCTCACCTGTTTTCCTGGGAGTGTTGTGGGAATCGGCTCAGCGGGCGGAGGGGTGTGCTGGAGGAGCAGTGGGAGCGGGGATCGAGACAAAGTAGATTTTTCCACTGTGTTCATCTTTACCCCAAAATACCCAATGTCTCTATTTACAGAAGACAGAATCCTGGAATGATTTCAGGTGTTCTGCCACCCTTTCACGTGGCCCTGCTGAGGATGGCCCCACAATGCAGCAGGTCCTTTTGTGTTTCCATCATGCAGTCCCTGTTATCCACTATGCTGGGTGTTTTCAGCTCTGCTCACATCTGATGTAAATGTGGAGCAGTGCTACTGGAAACGTTTGGGGCAGGGCTTGTCCCACAAGGCCTCAGCCTGATCTTAACCGTTTCACACCTTTCCTTTTTTTCTGACCATTTGCCATAGTGGGGGAAAAAATATTCTTTTTATTTTTCTAAACCAGATTTTATTCAAATAATAAATAACAACCTATTAACCCAGCATGCTTTAATGTTCCAAATCTGAATCTAAAGACTAGAGAGAGCACAAACATACCATTAAAAAAGCGTGCGCGGTTCTTCCTCCTGCCCAGCCTCTCCCCCATCGCGCACGCAAGCTGTCTCTTTAATAATGCAAAGGAGCAGTAAATTTCAAGCTGAGGATGGGCAATAACAAGGAGAGTTATTTCCACAATGCCCCAGTGTCAGCCCCTGGCTTAGGCGCACACCTTATTAGTTCTAACAGGCTGGTTAGCATCGGGTCACCTCTGCGGCTCCGCTCCCCGCAGGGTCACCCGGCTCCAGGCGGCATTTGGGGAGGGGGAAGGGAGCCGAGATTTACAGATTCTCTTCTCACCCGGCATTTTTAGCACTGGTTATTTTTATTTACACACCCTGCCCCCCTTCCCCTTTTACTCCTTGCCTTTCTCTTGCCCCCTCTCCCCCCGAAACCTGTGTAAATCCTGGTGGTGGGCAAACCCCTCCCCGGTGAGTGTGGATAGAGAGACTCCTTGGAATGGGGGACTCCTCTGCTGCTCTTCAGAAAAGAAATAATTCAAATTAACCAGCCTGGGCGTGTGTATGGACAAATAACAACATCCATAAGCCAGTGTTGATGAAAGCAAGCCCAAGGTGGTTGCACTCCCAATTAAGCATGACGGTAGCATGTCTGCAGTGAACACGTGTGTGTGTGTGTGTGTGTGTGTGTGTGTGTGTGTGTGTGTGTGTGAGAGAGAGGCAGAGAGAACGAGGCAGAGAGATGGGTGATGCCTTACTCCTCTCTCACTTTCTCGGGGCCACAGCAATTGTCTGTAGGATGGCTCTTTAAAGTGAGCTAACCCAGGGATGTGTTAAAAGGAATGTTCATTTTTTCCCTAACTGGAACGTAGGAGAAGCTGCCCATTATGGAAATCACAGGCGGCTGCGGCCCTCTCCCGGCCCCCTCCCCCACCCGCCAGCTCCCATCCAAAAATGAATGCAAAGAAATACTATTAGGCTGTCTGGTTATGTATTTTTTATGAGGCCATACAAGACACTGCCTGACCTCGTCCAGCTCATGTTATAACCACATTGAAGATGCTTTTCATTTGGGTTCTGCTTTTCAGCCTGGGTGACCTCTATTAAATAAAAAAAAAAAAGAAAAAAATGGCCTAATATGTGACCCCTGGGACGAGTCGCTTCAAGGATTACATTTAATTCATATGATAATATTGAAATATAATGTTTCTGTGTCTAATGTTTTGGATGTTTTTCTTTCTTCTTTATTTCAGGAATCCTTAGAGTCTTGTTGAAGATTTTTTTTTCCTTTTTCTTTTTGGAGGGGGGAGCACAAGTAACTCATGCTTGGTGGACAGATTCTTAAAAATCATATTTTTTTTCTCTTGGAAAGCCAGTGTGAACACAGCAGCCTGCTCTTCCCCTTGCTTTGAATGAGAAGAGGAGAAACAAAGGCAGGGAAATTATTTTTTGTATGAAAACGTGTCTGGCTCATCAAAATCCAGCCCCAGCTTTATTTTGGCGTTTGCTTAGCCGGTTGATCAGGAGTGACCTGCTTTCCTGGCCGGGGGGGGCACAGGCAGAGCCCCCTCTACCTCCCTGCTCGCCTCCAGCTCCCATTGTCTGCCTCGGCCCCGCCGCTCCCCTCGCACACGGGCTTGGGGCATGGACACCCCGCTCTGCGCCCGCCCGGGCTGGAGCATCCCAGCCTGTCTGACACACAACGCCCATTCCAGGCCGTGCAACTTCTCCATAAAAATCTCCTCGGGGCGAAACACGACTTGCGACGCTTCAGCTTAGGAGCACATTTGCTTTTGCCAATTGCAAAATTAAATTTGACTCTTTTCTAAATATTCCGCGTATGAAAAAACATTCAAGGAAGTGCATTTTTCCCCTCCTGTCCTCGCACTAAAATCATGTTGCCAGGTGTACGGGGGAATTCAGCCATCAGTCAGCAATCCAAGCCGAGACCTTGCACTGGGAAGCAACGAAGCCCTTAATCATTCCCGGTAATGACACGTTTGAAAAAAAGTGCCACACGTGTGCACCGTGTATTTTCAGCAAACATCTAATGCGAGGGTGTGAAACAGGGGCTGCGGTGCACGGTGTGCTTGTGCAAGGGCTTCCCTCCCCTCTTCCTCCTCCTCCTCCTGCTCCAGCCTGGCTGTGCTGCCCCGCTCACAAAAGCCTGTCCTTAGAACAATAGGCCTGTGCTCCTGGACACCCGTCCGGCACACGCCATGCTGCTGCTGGGGCGTTTGCCAGGGGATACACAACCCTGATTAGTATTTGTTTTTCTTTTTCCCCACTGTGAGCTGTGAAATAGTAAAATTAATTTGTGCAAAAATACCCTGGAACAGTGCTTGGGTTGACATAGTCCAGGTCGGTGCCGTGTGGTTACGGCTGACCCTGGGTCCCGGCCGTCGTGGGAGCTCTGGACGTGCCCCAGAAATGTTCGCCCTCCTGGGCACCCGCTCCGGGGGCTCGGGCAGGTGAGGGCTGAGCACTGGGGGCCTCGGGCCAGGTGGGGGCTCATAACTCCCAGCCCCGCTGCGCTTATTCGTGTCATGGGCTGAACCTCGACAGTTTTTGGCAAAACCTAATTAGCAGCAGGTCTGGGGCCTGTGTTGCGTGTATATGTGCAGCGGCGTTTTGTGCACGATATTAAAAAAAATATCCAGGCTTTGGGTTGCCTTTTGTAAGGCATGGAGCTGTGACCCTCCCTCCGCTGCTCCCTCCCCCCGGAGCCCCAGACTTCGCCGTGCCCTGGCTGCGAGCTTACATGGAGTTGTCTTTTTTTATTTTTTTTATAAACCCAGTCACAACACGGGAAGAGGAGGAGGAGGAGGAGGAAGAGAGAGAAAGACAGAACTAAAAACCCTCGAAGGATGGCTCTCCAAAATTCCTGGCGGAAGCACGGGGAATCCCTGGTAGCACGGGAGCGGAGGTAAGGCAGCCCGCGCCCACTCTCCTGCCGCCCCCCGCGCCCTCGCTTTTGGGCCGGGAGCGCGGCTCGTGGGGAGCGGGAGGGAAGGTGGATGGAGGTGGGTGGGAGGTGGAGGTGGGTGGTGGGTGGGTGGTGGGTGGTGGGTGGAGGAGACACCTTCGCCTCGCGCTGCTTAAGTGGGCGCGGCGCTGATGTGAATATGCAAATGGGCGGCCGGGCGCGTCACACGTGCGGTGCTCCCCCTCCCCGCGCTCCCCTCCCTCGCTCGCTCCTCTCCCATCCGGCCTCGGGGGGACCTGGGGACATGGGGGGCACTCGCCCCGTCCCGCCCGGCCCGGCGCACTCGGCCCGTCCCGCCCAGGGAGCGGCGGAGGTGCGAGGCCGGATGGGAGCGGGGGTGACCCCGACACGCGGGGAACGGACGCGATCGCTGCCGGGGGGCGCGGAGGACCGGGGTGGCTCCCCCCGCGCTGCTGATTGATGTCAGGGGCCAACAGGATCCGGCTTTCCTGGCGAGGATGATGGTGATGGTGATTGCGATGATTACACTCATCATTAGTGGGAATTTGAATTTTGCGATGGTCAAGGCTGGGCGGGGGCACGACCCTCGCGACCGGGAACTTAAGGAAAGAAAAGACAGGATTTGGAAAATGATTAATTTATGCACTGGAAGGGTCGAGTTACAAAGGTTTTCATGCAGCCCTGTTTTATTGCGAGTATACGCCGAGATCGGCAAAAAGATGGGAAAGGCGTTTTTGTTATTAAAGGAGAATCCTTTATTGGAGGGATGATTTAGAAATTTACAGTCAATGGAATTTAATTTTATCCTTTGCCTTTTGCTTTATCCACGTTTTAATAAAAGAGCCACGAAGAATAAGAGTAGCCAGGTGATTGCTGAACAAAGCAGATCTCCAGTCTGAATAGGATTTAAAATCAGTGCCTGCGCTCCCCACGCCCGGCGGGGCCGCGGGTGGCACCCCCGGCTGTGCGTCCGGGCTGGGGGACCCTGCCGTGACGACACACACCTTAATGCAAAATTAATATTTCATGTGCAGGAGGCACAAACTTTGTGGTACATTTTTCCCTCTCCTCTGTTTGCCTACTTGGCGATTTGGGTGCGCCTGATCACGTCTCAGGTTTTTATGTGGTTATTCCATGCAGAGCGCGATTTTCAGGGAGTGGAGTGCTGCTGGGGATGTCTGCCAGCACCCCGAGGTGGCAGTGACCATGTGTGGTTCTGCAGAACATCACTGGCATTAATTCACTGGGAAAGAAACCAAATGCAAATCAACTCCATTCGTTTTTCTTAGGTTCTACCAGGGACTTTAAAAGGATCTACTAATGGGATAACCATATTCACTAGATTGATAAATAAATAGAAAATCCCTAATTCTTTCGAGGTGTGGGGCTGGAAGCAGCAGATGGAAGTGACTCCAGGGTAACTGAATAAAACCCGTGCTGATAGTGTCTGATTGATCATAGTGTAGCGCACGAAGAGACAAGGAGTCAGCTGAGGAGAGAAGGAAAAGGTGAGAGATGGAGCCGGAGAGAAGTGTAACCCAGCTCCAGCAGGACAAACCACCTGCCTGCGTGCCCTGCGCTCCAAAGCGTGCCCAGTGTCCCGCACGGCTCTGCCACCCAAATGCCACCAAAGCTGGCCTTCAGCTGTCAGACAGCCCGGCTGGTCAGCGCTGGGTTTTCTCTCATTGTGCCGGTCTCTGTGCTTTCCCTCGCTGTGGCAGGCCTGTCCTGGCTGCACCGCATGCCGGGGCACGCCTGGCACAAGTGAGTGCCAAGGGCACTGTGCCCGGGGCGGCCTGGCTGCCAAGGGGCAGCGCGGGCAGGCCTTGGAGGGCACGGCAGGGCAGCACTGGCTCGGGGGCCCTTTTGGGTGCCCGCACCTGCGGCCGTGTGCGCACACACGATTCCCTGCGCTCGCTCCGCTGTGCCAATAAAGAAGAAAGGCAGGGATGAGGAATTGTTGCTATTGATCTGCCCAAGGGGATCATTAGGCATCAGTATCAATCTACAAATCAGTGGGCCTGTGTTACTTGCTTGGGCAGTCATTGCCAATTTGTTCCTATTAGATGGCCGAGCCCGGAGGTGTTTGATGAGCAGATTGGGTCTTTATCTCGGCGCTGGAGAGCAGGCGGGCGTGGGGAGATGCCGCAGCTTTGCAGGAGTGCTGCTGTTTGTTTGTTTTCTTCTGCTGAAACCCTTTGCACTTCTCAGTACAGAATTTTGTAGGGGCTGAATGTGTTTCTGCTTTATGGATGGTTTTTCATATCATCAGATTAAACATATTGAGAGTTTAGGAGAAACTATTTTAAAATAATCCTCTCGCTTTTATTCGGTCTGTTTACCAGCAGCACTCCCTATAAAAATACATATTCATGCCAGATTCTTTTGTTATCCTTTCCAGGCCAGACCCAACATTAGGAACGCAAACAATTTTGGTTTTGCTATCCCAGTGCCCATTCCTTGGGATTTATTGAGTTGTGCTTATTGAGATGATTGTTTTCACAGTATTCCCCTCTGTGATTTAATTATTTAGGCCAAAAAATTAAAGCTTGCAGATAATATTTTATTTTCAAAGTGGTTTTATGTGGAGGGCAGCCCCAGAGGTTAGAGGTCCCTTGGACACAGCCCTGCTCTGTGTGGCACCTTCCAGAGCTGCCTCCCTCATCTGCATATTCGCAAATAAGAAAAATGTTTAATACTATGCAAAATGGATAACAAATTTATACCATAACAGGAGAATGGAAATTACTGGCAAAAAAGGGATCAAACCAGTTCACATGAATGATCTGATCCGACATCAATGCCGTGTTACTTAATGCAAACCTTGATTCCGACTGTTCCATCTCACTCCTCACACGAGCATCGCACAGTTTAAACATCTGTCCAGCCGTTAAAGACCCTATTGATGCTGTGTTATTGGATTTCTAATTTCCAGGTTTTGTCAGGGGGTTTAACAGACTATATGAGTGTTTATAATTTCTAATGAGTTTAATCTCTAATTTGCCTCTATTACCTGGGACTGTCAAATCCCTTTCTCAGCACTTGGTCTGTGAAAATTCAAAATACAGAAATACAGGTTTCTAAAGAACTCGAAATATTTGTCATATCTTTTATATACAAATATGTGTGCAATAAACAGAACTATACATTCTTATTCTCTTTGAAGATCAAGCTTGATCTTAATCCTGCCTATCTGCTGCAATCACAATATATTACCTAAACCCAAGTTTCTTTGAGGACTTTTTGGATAGATGTCACTATTTCACTGGAGATAAAATAGGGTGTGTTTTAGGATACCACATTATTGCTGCCTGATTAGTATTTGATCAAATCCTATCTGTTTTTTTGTCCCTGAGACAATCCAGCTCCTCCACATCCGGAGGCGAATTCGCCTCATTCTGTCTGACAAGTGTTTTGTTGGGGAGCAGCGGATCAGATCCGTGTAAACACGCGGCTGGGGCGGCAGCCCCGCACTTTTAATTTATCATAAACTCCACAGAACTCATTAGCTTTCATCTTTACATCGCACGTATAGAAATGAATTCTGAGCTCACTCGGGGAGGCTTTTTTCTGTGGAGTTTGCTGTACAAATATTTATGGACCTTTTCCTTTGTAGTAGAGATTCCAGTGGCAACAGCTATCACACGACGAACAGCAGCTTGCAACTTAGGGAAGAGGTTGCCAAAAGCTGTTGTTTATCTAGTTGTGTGGCATTTTGTCTTGAAATTTGTTTTGCTACTATTTGCAAAAAATGCAGGGCTCTCTTGGGAGGAGAAATCGGGATTTTTTGCCTGTACTCCAGAAAAAAAAAAAAGGGAAAAAAGCCTCCCAGAAAATGAAATCTAAGTGTGTTTGTATGTACGAACATAACTTTATAATCAGCATATTCTGAGGATTTTCAGAGCAGGAGGCTGCTTGCTGCCCATTCACAAAACACATATGGTGATTTTATGGTAGGTTTTGTTTTAAAGATAATGATTTGTCTCCGCGTTGCAGTTGTTTATGTTTCTGTCTATATCTCTTTCCTCACCCCTGTTTTATTTAGTAAGGTTTCAGCTGTGAAATTTCTCCATGAAACAATTGATACATTCTCCACACGCTGCAGCGAGGGAAAAAAAGCCCCTTAGATTAATGGTCAGTGTCTCATCCACACAAATTTGTGTTACGATACTACCGAGAAGCTGCGAATTACTGACAAGATCTAGAATAATTCCTAATGCTGTCGAAGGCTTCATTTTCTCCTCCGCATGATGGATGAGGCATAAGAAGTGCTTTCTGAGATCGTTAATGTGCATCATTCTGTTAAGTGTTATTAAAGTCCGTCTGTCTTCGGCAGCAGAAACAATGGCTTAGCCCTTATTTTGCCTCTCTCTTTGCTAAAGTCCAACTGGCTTTTACTAATGTGGCTGTTTTGGGGCTCTCTCAGGCCTGTTTGTACCACGGTGTTTCTGGTGGTCTGGGGAATTGTATTTTCCCTTCGAGTTTAATGTTGGCTTGTGGCATGGGGAGGCACAGCGAATTCCCGGTGATTCTGTCTGTAACCTGTGGATAATGTCCAAGCAGTGCAGGATCCGTACCAGAGCTTCCATTGGAGCTTGGAAAATAGGACTGAACTTTCCCTTTGGAAGGCTGTTCCTGCGGAGCGACGCTGGGCTGTGAAACTGCCCCCAGGAGCAGCCGTGGCCACTCATTTCCCCCTGGATGAATTGTTTAAAAATCTGGGAATTGCTGTCTGAGGAGACAGTGAGCTGGTCCCTAGCTGGGAGGGAAGCTGGCACGGGCGACCCAAACTTGTCCTGCTCGGGCAGGAACCGCTGCCGTGTCCTGGCCCCTGGGCATCGCCCCATTCCCCAAGGGGGAGGAGGCCAGGCCCAGACTGCAGATGGATCGTATTAAATCAAAAGTACTTTTAACCAAACAGAAGAATTCACTTTAAGGGTTTTTAACCTTTCTTTAGAGCCAATTTTTCCTTAAGCCCT